CAAACTTCCCTTACTGAACTGCACCCAGTCCTGGCCTTGTGTCTGTTGGGTGGGGCCTGCAGTTGGTCTGTGGTGTCGTTTCCCTTTCAAAATGCAAGCAGTTCACTCAGGGGCTGACAGGCTTCTCCATTACAGATCATCACCTTCAGTGGCACCCTCCAAAGCCACAGGTGCTTAGAGGTGCAGGATGGCAGGGCGCTCAGTGTGGGTGTGTGTGTGTGTGTGTCTGTGTCCATCCACCCATGCCAGCCCACAATGACCATGGAGTGAGTTAACTCGAGGAGGATGACACCTCACTCCAAGTGAAGTCTCTGGCCGGCCTGACTCTGAGTCAGTAGGTTACGATCAGGTGCGATTGGGGTAGTGTTCATGTTGGGGTTAGACGATTAACCTGTGACAAGGTCTCTGGTAATCCCCACAACTGGAAACCAGGGGAAACGCTTCTACATTTTATGTCTGTTTGGCAGGTTGGAATGTTCTTAGATAGGGCAAGTTTCATAAGTCATCCATGTTTTACTTCTACTGGTAAACATGCTGTACAGAATCCCTCGACATCTTACCCTTTAGACAACTGTTTTTGAGTTTTCAAAACTCTTGGGTGGACTGGCACACACGTTCTGAAGGGGGGATGTCAGTGATTACCTGCGTGACCAGTGCCTCACAAACCCTTCCTTTGGGCTTCTAGGAGCAGGTCGTTTTGGTCCTATGTCACTGTGAGAGCTGGTTTCTTCTCTCATCACACGCTCTGGAGTTGTCCATCAGAAGGCATATACATTTTTGTGAATTCTCTTATTTAGCCTTCCCATTTTAATTTCCCACTGGACAAAATTGATCTGGAACTCAGTGTGCGGAAATTTCCGAAGAGTGTGTTTTAAGATAAACACAGCTGCTGCACGTAAATAAGGGCTATTGGTATCATGTTCCTCTCAGAAAACCCTTTTCCAGGGCCCCTGTCAGACCACAGGCCCCTCACTCCTCCAGGGTCTTTGTGGGCTTGGACAGAAAGTGCAGAGTGTAGAAGACTGCTTTGTCAGGACTTGAGGCAGGTCGGGACAGTCAGGGGCTTGGCAGGCAAATGATTCAGCTCCAGTGGCTCGGACTCCTTGCGGAGAAAGGGCATTCAGTTTCATCACATTCTGTAACTTCTTAACAAACCCAAATCTTCGGTGGCTGAAGACGAATGATGTAGTGTTGCCCAGGATGTCGATGCCTCCGTGTCTGGAGTATGCTGCTTTACTCCTATCCAATGATCCCTTTTCACCTTTTAAGACACTACTTCTTGGTAGTGAACGTTGGCAGACAGGGGTAGTGATGTTTGGTGACAGTAGGTTGTTCCTGTAACATCTAATCCTCTGCTCCCTGCCTTATTATATTTGGTACCAACTGAGAGGGATAAAGTTTTCTAGCACGATGCGGCTCTTCTGGAACGTGGTATTGGAGAAGGAGCCAGATGCTGAGAGCTTGCTCTTTGGGTTTCATCTCTTG